AATGATCTAAAATTATTGTTATTTATTATCTTGTCAATTCCAAATGGTCTAAATATTTATAATTTCATTTTTTCCCCTCTTCCTAATATATATAAAGGAAAAATAAAGAGAAAATCACAGTGAAATAAAAAGAATAATTTAATTTTCCCAATTAATTACAATCATCAAATTAATCCAATAATTAATGCATGTGAATGTTGGAAGAGAGTCATTTTTAACGCTACCAAACAATGATTAAGTTAACATTTTTTGACGTTTTTTTATTGTTGGACCATGACATTTTCTTTTGTAATTAATTAACTCTTTGCCATCTTAGTGTATCTTAATTTTAATTTGTTTTATTCATTTAAATTTTGTTTTCATTACATTTATTATATTGCATTTTCATTATATTCCATATAACTTTTTTACATATTTTAGGATTCAAAATTCCATAATTGAAGAATTTGTTCCGTCTCAACAAAAAGTTAAATTGATGTAGTTAGATTGCACACATGGACATAATTTCGATTTGACTTTTCTCCCCGTGCGAGATGTTTATTGATTTTCTAGGTTTGAGCCAATCAATTGTGTATAACCTAGGCTAATTTAACTCTTTCTTGTCCTTTATCGGCTATGTCACAAAGCGAGATTCACCTAGAATGCAACGTGCTAGACTACACGTTTTTATGTATATACTATATGCTTAACTTCTTTTTCTTGTTCTCTCTTTTCCCCTAAATTTATTTCCATATATGCTCCATTGAATCAAACTTTTATTTGCATTCAAAAAAAAAAAAAAAAAAAAAAGAATCAAACTTTTATTTTAGATGAACCTTCATATTCATTTCAATGAATTTAACTTCTATTCTAAATAAACTGAGAGCAAAGTATATTGTGTTTGTGTGTGTGTGTGTGTGTGTATATATATATATATATATATATATATATATATATATATATATATATATATATATATATATATATATATATATATATATATATATATATATATAAGGGATCAGGTGCATTTGGGGCTTTCCGTGCGGTTGTGCGGTTGGAAGCATATTAAGCATTAAACTGACGCACTTTAAGTACACAACACATGCACATTAAGCACACAAACAAAACACCTTCAGAATACAACCTCACGCATGTTAAGCACAAGCCTCACGTATCTTAAATACAAAACTCACGCATGTTAATCACAAAACATACGCACCTTATAAGTTTCAACAACTACTCACATTAAGCACAACCTCACGCACGTTAAGCACAAAACTCATGCATGTTAAGCACAAAACTCACGCATGTTAAGCACAAAACTCACGCATGTTAAGCACAAAACTCATGCACTTTAAAGTTTCAACAACAACTCACATTAAGTACACACTCACGCACATTAAACAAAAAACTCATGCACCTTAAGCACGAGACTCACGCACCTTAAGTACAAAACTCACGCACATTAAGCACAAAACTCAGTAGACTACACACTCACACATATTAAGCATAAACCTCACGCATGTTAAGCACAATACTCACACACTTAAGTACAAATCTCACGCACATTAATCAACTGCACAACCGCACGGGAAACACTTAAACGCACTTGAACCTCTCACTATATATATATATATATATATATATATATATATATATATATATATATATATATATATATAATATTTTGTATACATTGGAGAGGTATAGTTAAATAAGGGATGAATATCCTTCAAGATTTTGCTGGGGTCCATGCCCATGCTTGGAATAGTTATAATAATGCTCTACTGATTTTAATTTATAAATAAATAAAATATCATGCATATATTAATATGTTATAAAAACAGTCTAATTTAATGTTGATATACATGTTAAAATCTAATCTAATAATAAATAAAAATTAATAAGTGTGAAGGAAAGTTATACCCTTAATTTATGTCCTTTTTTTCGTTATATTTTTGTATACATTATGCTATAAGAGTTGTACTATACAACATTTTGATTAAAAACACCCCCTACCATTATAACTCACGTTATCTTTTCCAACTATTATTGTCATGCACATGCATCCACTATATATATATATATATATATATATATATATATATATATATATATATATATATATATATATAATCCGGATCAGGTGAGGACCTAATCTTAGGTGAGGATGTGAGGACTAATCTTGTGCGTTTGTTTTTTTATTTGGATGGTCCAGATTTGAGTTCTTGAGATGACATGGATTGATCTTTTTTGTTAAAGTGGGACAATAGTGTCTTTTTCTATTTTTTTTAAGTGTGAACGCATGTATAATCCTTGGCCAAATTGGTTTCCTATTTTCTTGGATCATCACCGTTGCAATTTGGAGCCGCGATTTCTTCATCATTGATTGAGTGTTCGCCCATGCAAACTAATCACTATTTTTTATTTTTTTTTCGCTTGTTCTTTTGAGTATAATATTGTCTATATTTGGATTGTCGTGTATATGTGTAAATGCCTGGGTAGAACGATTGTGCATTCATGTGTGCTGATTGTGCAACTTAGTGTTGTAAGTTGTGCACTATAGGCTAGGGAGTTGTGCATTATAGCACATAGTTCAATGCATCGTAGAACATTGGATGTTCACTGTATTGATTTTTTGGCGGGGTTTGAATGCACAACAATGAAGTTATTGATGCACAACACTCAGTATAGGAATGCACAACACTCAGTATAGGAATGCACAACATTTTGTATAGGAATGCACATCTTTTAATAAGACTGATTTACCCTAAATTTATATATTTTAATATTTTAAAGGGATTTGTTTTCTTTATCCGTGTGATTTGTTTCTTTTAATCTCAATCATACATCATTCTGATTTAATGGTCTAGATTAGTCCTCACGTCCTCACCTAAGATTAGGTCCTCACCTGATCCGGACCCTATATATATATATAAAAGAGCGCTCATATGCGGCGGGGTCTTACCGTGCGGCGGTGCGGTCAAATTCCAAAATACACCAACAGTGTTAACAATATGCACCAACAGTGTAATAAAAACACACCACAATGAAATGCAATAAAACATCACAAAATACACAACAGACTCAAAAAAATACACCATATAACTCACCACCCCCAATGGTGTATTTCCGAACAGTGTATGGTGTTTTTACTCACACCTAATGGTGTGTGTTTGGTGATGCAGGACTCTGTTTACTCTGTTTTGTGTGGTGTATTTTCCTAACGTTGATGGTGCATATTTGTTGAACTATTGGTGTTGCCGCACCGTAAGACACTGCCTGAACCCGCCTCTATATATATATATATATATATATATATATATATATATATAGAAGAGCGCTCATATGCGGCGGGGTCTTACGGTGCGGCGGTGCGGTCAAATTCCAGAATACACCAACAGTGTTAACAATATGCACCAACATTGTAATAAAAACACACCCCAATGAAATGTAATAAAACATCACAAAATACACCACAGACTCAAAAAAACACACCATATAACTCACCACCCCAATGGTGTATTTCCGAACAGTGTATGGTGTTTTTACTCACACCTAATGGTGTGTGTTTGGTGATGCAGGGCTCTGTTTACTCTGTTTTGTGTGGTGTATTTCCTAACGTTGATGGTGCATATTTGGTGAACTATTGGTGTTGCCGCACCGTAAGAAATAACCGCACCGTAAGACACTGCCGCACCTGAACCCGCCTCTATATATATATATATATATATATATATATATATATATATATATATATATATATATATATATATATATATATATATATATATATATAGAAGAGCGCTCATATGCGGCGGGGTCTTACGGTGCGGCGGTGCAGTCAAATTCCAGAATACACCAACAGTGTTAACAATATGCACCAACAGTGTAATAAAAACACACCCCAATGAAATGTAATAAAACATCACAAAATACACCACAGACTCAAAAAAACACACCATATAACTCACCACCCCAATGGTGTATTTCCGAACAGTGTATGGTGTTTTTACTCACACCTAATGGTGTGTGTTTGGTGATGCAGGGCTCTGTTTACTCTGTTTTGTGTGGTGTATTTCCTAATGTTGATGGTGCATATTTGGTGAACTATTGGTGTTGCCGCACCGTAAGAAATAACCGCACCGTAAGACACTGCCGCACCTGAACCCGCATATATATATATATATATATATATATATATATATATATATATATATATATATATATATATTATCTACCTTCTTCAATAGTAATAATATATAGATATTATATATTGGAGTACTATATAAATTATTTTCTGCTAAAGGCCTTGTGGTCAAGCGGCATAACTGTGGCTCTCCCAAATGGGAGGTCACATACTATATTGTAATAGAGTCAACACTATTCAAAAAATTATAAATTACTTTCTAAAATATAAATATCAAATTTATAAAAATAGTTTACATTATTATTATTATTATTATTATTATTATTATTATTATTATTATTATTATTATTATTATTATTATACAATAATATAAATATCTAAAATCTAAATAAATCTATGATTTTAATATAAAGTACTAATATTGGTGATCGATTTTTGCCCATCGTGCATAGAAAATACTAATGTTAAATATAAGTAAAAATTTACATGCAAAATAATAAATAAAGTACTGCATGCATTATTGACTCTTTTTAACGTCCCTAATAGTCATCTAAGCACATAGAAATTATAATTCAGTGTATAACGCTACCAATTGTATATATGTGTGCACTTTAAAAAATAAAATAAAATAAAAGGTGCCTTCATAAGAAGGAAATATTTAAAAAATAATCATTAAAATTTGAAAATTGTGAATAATATAATATAATGCATTGAGTAGTATAATGTTTTTTCCATAAAAAGATAATTATTTAAATTTGATAAAGTGTCACAATAATGTATGATTGAGAAGACAACAAAGTAAAAGACAAAACCTCATTGCCCCTTGAGTATGGTTTTGAAGGATATTGGAGGACTGCAATTTCATACCTTAGCTTCTCATCCACATCTCTCTCTCTCTCTCTCTCTCTTTGCTTCATAGTTTTATCAGTAGGAATTTGTTTGGTTTCATTTACTCTCATATGTATGGCTTTATTTGTATTGATTCCTTGGTTGTTTTAGCATCTTTTAATGTCCTCCAAACATGAATTAAGGATAGATTGATGTTGTTGGACTGCAACCTAAGCTCATCAAAACTATTTCTTTTTTCCTTTTTTTTTTTTTTTTTTTTTTTTTTTTTTTTTTAGTTAATAATTTTCTATTACCAGTTTCTAGCTTATTTCTAGGGTTTGATATCTCAAGAAACTACACATATGCAACCAGATTTGATTGCTTCCATTATATTGTTTTCTTGAAATATATTTATATTTAGATATATATATATATATATATATATATATATATATATATATATATATATATATATATATACCCAAGATAGATATTTTATATTGCAAGAATATGATTAAGGCAGTGCAGCTAGTTGATGACAGCATGTCAAACTTAACATCTGCATCTAATGATAATGCAATTAGCATTTCTTCAACCCAACAACCTAGTAATACCAATCAAGCTGTCAAGAGGAAGAGAAACCAAGCAGGAAACCCAGGTATATATATTATATTCTTGTTTAATTTAATTCCAAATTTATTTTCTTTTCTTTTGTATGAATTGCGTACAGAATATGATTGTTGGGTACGTCTCATATGTACATACAGTCGGTAATTCTGTATGTACATGTACATGTTTAGGGTTGCATATAAATATGATCTAAATTTTTTAATCTATCACCATCCCAATTAATATAAGAACTGTTTATCTGCCGTGGGCAGATCGATGCAGCTAGCTAGAACCACAAAAATCTTGTTTCGATCTTCTATTGTTATTGATTCTTGTTCTCGTTAATCTCAACTGAACTTGTATTGTTAGACCCGGAGGCAGAAGTAGTGGCATTGTCACCGAACACACTGTTTGCGACGAACCGGTTCGTGTGTGAGATATGCAACAAGGGGTTTCAGAGGGACCAGAACCTGCAGCTGCACAGGAGAGGGCACAATCTGCCATGGAAGCTGAAGCAAAGGAACAAGGATGAGGTGGTGAAGAGGAAGGTGTATGTGTGCCCAGAGGCATCATGTGTGCACCATGACCCTGCGAGGGCCCTGGGAGACCTCACAGGAATCAAGAAACATTATAGCAGGAAACATGGGGAGAAGAAGTGGAAGTGTGACAAGTGTTCTAAGAGATATGCTGTTCAGTCTGACTGGAAAGCTCACTCCAAGATTTGTGGCACCAGAGAGTATAGATGTGATTGTGGAACCCTTTTCTCCAGGTAATTAACACATTATTATTATTGTTTTATTTAATTTTATACTACTATGAAATGTCATTGGAATCAATTTGATTTTGGAGGTGTTTGGTAAATGGCTGGTAGCTAATTGGGTTATTGAGTTTTACTAGTTAATAACATTAGTTAATTGTAGAAAAGTGTTTGGTAAATTAGTTGTTAGCTGATTACATACAAAATTATTTTTTCAAAAAGCTGACTAAAAAAACAATGTTGAGCAACTTTTTGAATTTTAGCAGGAGAATAAGTTGTTATAAAAAACTAATTAATCAAACACTTATATTGATTGTGTAACCAAGTCAAACGGGCTAATAGTGATCAAATAAGCCAAAATTGATTGATAGACTAATTATTTTACCAAACATTGAATTATGATGTTTGATTGGTACTATGAATTAGTAAACATCTTAGCTTCAGTACATGTTGGAACTACTACTTAAATTATTTTTTCTTTCAAAAATTATGTTTTTTGTTTGTTATTGCCTTGCAGTTGTATGCCATATATTCCCAAAGGAATCTTGCATATACATAAGCATGAGCTAGCTAGCTAGGGTGATATAATTGGTATATCTATATATGTTCAAATTGAATTTTCATTAGTCAAAAACTTTTCAGTCTAACATAACGTGAATTTTTAATCTATTTTGCATTTGGGTACTATATGGACACAATAAGTTGATAGTATACTTATTTTTCTTTTGAGTCAACAACGCCTCTACTGAGGCTCGATCTCATGACCTCCCATATGAAAAAAGTCACTACATGTCATCTAAGCACAAGGTGCTTGGCGTGTTGATGTATTTTTACAACCCAAATTAAAAAACATACATTGTTGTATCTTCGCGTTTGACGTACTTTCTCATATTATTATAAGTATACAATTCTAATTAAAATGTCATAGGTTTAATTTTCATTGGGTTTGATGTATTTGAAAAATGCTAGTCTATACATTCATGTGTTCACAATTCTGTTGGGTCGGGCGTGGGAGGTATTGGGGTTGAAAATTCAACCTTTTGAAATAAAATTGTTCACAATTCTTATGATTTGTTTCTTTTTCTAGTATTAATATAATACACATGCATTAATTTTTATTTTTTTTATTTTTTTTTTGTGTGATTGCAGGAGGGACAGCTTCATAACCCACAGAGCTTTCTGTGATGCCTTAGCTGAAGAGAGTGCAATAAGGTCATCATCCCTCACTCCCCTACCCAACGCCCTCTTCTCCACCCAACCGCCGCCGCCGCTCTCGGCCACCGCCACCTCTCTCCAGGCTCTACAGAACCTCCAAGCTACTTTCAACCACCTCCGGCAGCCGGCAGAGATACCACCATGGCTAGCCTGTCCACCACCACCACCGCCACCAACACTCAAGGCCACTGGGCCCACACAGCTCTTGGAAAACCCTAATAACCCTAGCACGCTTCTTGTGTCACCGCCTCACATGAGCGCAACCGCACTGCTCCAAAAGGCGGCCCAACTGGGAGTGACAAGCAACAACACAATTAACTCGACTGGTAGTCTTATCAGACCCCACCACCATCACCAAAACCAAATTCATCACATGATGGGCACTGCTGCTGCTGGGTTTTTCAGCTCACGTGAGGAGGAGTTGGCATCATCTTATGGAACAAACAAACCTGCGGCGGGTCATGCTAGCCTCACCCCTGGTTGCATGGAAATGATGGGCACTACAGGTTCTGACACTAGTGGATTTTATTATCATCATCAGGGGTTTAATGGTGGTAGAGAAAACACTGACATTGAAGGATTGAATACCAGAGATTTCTTGAGCCTTACAGCTAGCTTTTCCTCTTCAAAGGGATTTTCTCAGAATTCTGCCTGCTGGCCACCTTGATCAGATCAGATTAGATGGATATATATATCATATATAGCAACATGCATGCGCCCTCTTTCTTCTCCCTAGCCGTTCATTATGATGTAAATGGAACAACAAACTAGCTAGCATTGGAAAAACCTTTTTAATAGCTAGAGTTTAATAGCAGCTCGACTTTGAATTAATCGGACCAAATGTAAATAATGTTCTTGCTAGCTAGTTTTCTCTGGAAGCTAAGTGTTGGTCCCGCCCAAGTTAATGTCTAGAAGGGAGCCAGGGGTTGAAGACTTTAAAACAAACTTTTTGAAAACATAAACTAATTGAGCTCGCTTGAATTTCGAAATTAAAGATAGAAATAATTTTCTTGTAGCGGAAGTCTTTAAAAACTTGCCAAGCAAGATAAAAGTTTGTAGCTAAGTTTGGTGAAATTTGTGTGTTTGTGTTAAAACGAGTATGGAGTTAGTTGTACAGTTAAATAATATGGAAAGTAAAGTGCAAGAGAGAAAGAAAGTTTTTATAGTGATTCGGAAAATATTTCTACTCCATTCCCTTCTCCTTCAACTCGAAGAAGGATTTCACTAAGTATTTGTTACAAAATACAAGTGAAAGGGAAGCCTTCAACTTCTTTCGATGGCAATTCTTGAGATAGTTACGAGCTCCTCGTCAACGTACACTACTTGATCAAGAGCTAGCCTGTTACACTCCTAAATTTCAAGGTATTTAAAACTTATAAAATAAAGGCGAATTCATTGATTAAATCCCAAATAGAGCATGAAGCTATCCATAAGAGTCGGGGTGTTATGCCACACCTAGGTTTGAGAACCTAGGTGCACAAGCTAAAATAACTAAGCATAAGGAATCCTCATATCAATATTCAATACAATCCCAAGGCACGCAGGCCACTACTGAGCTAAAACTAGATAAGTTAAGTCCAAGGCTTTGACTAGCGCGCTCCGAAGCTAAAGCTCGTCACCTGAAAAACATTCGGTATAACAACCGTCAACGAATAATGCTGGTAACTCACTCCAACGCGTTAAGTACAATATAGGTAGATATAAGAAACTCATTATCAAGACTCAAGGCATATAACAGACTCAATATCATAGGATAATAATAAGAACTAATAGTCATCCTAGCCATGCAATGCACGACATAACAGGTAGATAAGCATGCAAATAACTAAGGCATTCAATACAATCAATTAGCAAGTAGTCAACAAAGCACCCAATTCATTCTCCAACCTTATACCAAGTTCCAACCGTATAACTCCCCTTCGTCCCTATATCAGTTCCAACCTATACCTCTAGGCCACCCTTATATCCCCACCCCTTATGCCTCCGGGCAACTACATGCCCCCACCGACGAACCCACCTTTCAACCACCAACATATCAAGATGGTGCCGCAGTTCCATTCAATGATCCGCACCTCTAGTGCCAATATCAAGGGGTTAGCGCATATAGCTCTAACATGACACCGCATCACTTATAACCTGACCCAATACTCAACGGCAAGCTAGTCGAAGGTGGGTGTGTGCCTTTAGCACAGTCACCGCTATGGTCTGTACCTTTAGTACAATGACCGGGCACAAGTGGTGCCAACCACCAACAGTTTATTTTCCATCAATCACAATCTCATCAATATCATTATCATCATCATCATTAGTTACACTAGCCATTGCGCAGTGACCACGATACTCATCATCATTCAATCAATCAACACATAATTACGTAACAAGCAAGACACAACAGCAATGACACGTATCACACATAAAATCCTAGAACGATGCCTAAAATACCAAACGAGACTCATACACGACAAACGGGGTACAACAGGACACAACGAGACACGGGAATACATCAAATGGGGGAAAATATGACGACAGTCGATCGAATTCAGCGGGTAGGTGGCGGGTGGAGGACCACCCGCCAGCCACCCACCGGCAGCCATATACTATTCCAGCGGGTGGCCGGCGACCACCGCCCGCCGGCTGCCCGCTGGAACAGTGAACGCGGGTAGCGGGTAGCGGGTAGGTGGCGGGTGGTTAGTCCCCCCACCTACCCCGATTGATACACATGCAACTTTCGGTCCCGGGATCTCTCGTGGAACCCGAAACCATATCCAAACACATTCAAGCACATAACGACAACACCACGTATTCAATTAACGGAATTAAACCAAGAATCACACTAAGTACATCCTAACACGATTTCTAAACATACCAAGACCCAACATAAATCATATAACGGTTCAGGAACATCCGGAACCACAAGAACATCAAGAAATCTATATGCAAAGTCCTAAACACAAGTCCTAGGCTAGACTCAACACCCGATCATGCATAATCCCACCCAAATATACCAAGAACATCATAATACAAGATTCACGATATAAACCATAGGGCTCTAGACATAATCAAAATACAAGATCATTCATTTAATCAATCATAGTATCAAGAACATCAAGATTATCACATATATAAACATCAAGATTATCACACAAACACAATATAAACCCTAGGCAAAGCTCTATCAAGACTCAAGCACAGAATCATATATCAAAGGAGCCAATGAATAAGATATAGCGAGGAAAATAGGTTTTGTCGAGACATGGGTTACCTCTTAGCCTTAATCAATATCCTTGGCTACTAAGGTTCTCTCTCTAAGATCTTCTTCCTGTGGGTTCTCCTACGTTTGATGGCATGGGGATTCCTTTGTAAGTTTCTTTCTAGGAATATCTCGTGTGGTAGAATTAACTGTGGTAGGGTTTCTAAATGCTTCCTAAGTCCCTATATATAGATTTAGGAGTCCCAACTAGGGTCTGAATAGTAGGGGTCCACTTATCCTATTTCTGATAGGATTAAGGATTTGGTTTAAGGATAAGGGTCATGATTCATGGTGGGCCACATCAATTAATTAAAGGGAATCTTAACCAAATTAAATCATTTCTAATTATTATTAACGGAATCAATTAAATAATTAATCCGGGATTAGAGGCCTTAACACGGGGTGTTACATAGCCAATGTTCAATCACAAAGTTTTCTTGCTAGAATTATCTTCCAACTTCCTTAAGTTGGAAAGATGCTACTTGTTGAGTGCTGGATTTGAAAGAATTTAAGTGATTTTTTTTAGCTTAGAAGACTAGATTTGCACTACAACAATTTCTCTCTCAATTAGCTTTCAACAATATAATATAATAGATCACAATAAATCATTTTTCTAGCATGTTCTTCTAAGAAAGGGGTCCTCCTTTTATAGATAAGGATAAATGTATTAAGTAGCAAAGGAAGAGTTTATGTTTATTCAATGAAACACAGAAGAATACAAGATATGGAGACGACAGTAACAACTCAGGACTAATTCTAGAAGAGAAAATATAACTACCTAGACTAAATCAACACACACACACACACACACACACACACACACACACACACACACACACACACACATATATATATATATATATATATATATATATATATATATATATAATAAAAAGCATACAAATATTATTTCTTAATACGCCCCGCAAGATGGAGGAATCATCAGTTACACCAATCTTGGACCTTAATCGTTAAAATAGTGCCCATGCCAATGGCTTAGTTAACACAGGCTTAGTTAACACATCTGCCACTTGATCACGAGCAGAGACATGACGAACCAATAGAGACCCTTCAGCTACCATATCACAAACAAAGAAATAGTCTAAAGCAAGATGCTTCATTCTAGAATGAAAAACCGGATTCTTACATACATAAGTCGCCCCAAGACTATCACACAGCAGAGATGGTGGTTTAAGTAAGTGAACCCCGGCTTCTCTCAAAAGATTCTGACCCCAAACAATTTCAGTGGCGGCATGTGCCAAAGCCTATTATTCCGCCTCCGTGAAGACCTAGACACCAATTTTTTACGTGCAGACTTGCAAGAGATAACATTACCCCCAAATAAACAACATACGTGGTCGTAGACCGTCCTTTGTCTTGTAAGTTACCCCAGTTAGAATCAGAGAAGGCAACCAAGCGCAAAGGTGCATCAAATTTTAACAATAAACCATGAAGAACAGTACCTTTCAAATATTTGAGAACACGCTTCGCACCTTGCCAGTGTTCTGCAATTGGGGCATGCATGGATTGAGCTAGTTTATTCACAACATGTGCTACGTCTGGCCGGGTGATCAGTTGATATCGCAAGTGTGACAACCCAAAATGTAATTTTATAAATTCGATTTTAAGAAATTCCGAAATAGCCATTTTTCACTCTGTAAAATTTTTTTACGATGAAATCGGTGTTAAATAAATTATTTTGAGCCACTTTTAAGTAAATTCAACACCGGGATTTATTTTAAATCTAAAATCCTAGATTTTTGGGTACAGTGCGTACCAAGTTTGACCCCAAATTCAATCTGAGTGAAACCGGAACAAATCTGAAAAGCCTAAATCAAGTGTTTATCTAAGAATCATTTTTGGGAAATTCATTTTAACCCCAAACTATTCTAAATCTTGAATTCTAGCCCTTGGTTCATGATGCAAGGTGAACCCTACAATTTTATTTTACATTTTTACCCTCAAAACCCTAACTATAAAGAATAATGTTTTTCCCTTACTTCACTATTCATTCCTCCAAATTAGCAGATTCCATCGTGACTCCTCCATCTCTCCCTATCATCTTCATCTTCATTTTTGGAGCTTTTTCTTCTTCCCAAGCTTAGGTTTCAAGACTAGGTAAGATATCTTCTCCCATTTCCTTGGGTTAGCTTATTTCTAAGATGAGATTATCTAAGCTAGATGTGTTTGTTTGTCTTGGTTGTTGCTTGAGAAATGGAGATGGTAGAGAAGAAGACCTAGCTTGAGGTTGGAGATGGAAGAATTCTTGAGGTTGAAGCTTGAGGTATAACCCATGGATTCCCAAATCTAGTATTTTTCCCTAAGTTATGTGATTTAGTTATTCAAGTGTGTGTATGTGTGTGTGTGTGTGTGTGTATTTGGGTATTTAGAATGATGAAATGTATGTTGTTTGATATTTAAAATGATGAAATTGATGTTGTGAAGCTATCTGGTTTTCTGTAAATTTGGCAGCACAGTATTATGTAAAGCCTGGGATTGAATCCCAGTGCCTAGTTTCCCTAAATTGTTTAAGGGGGGGACTAATCTCTAGATTAATAATTAAAATCTCATCCACTTGAGCAACTTCAACCTCTGAGAAATTATCTTGGTTTATATAATATATTTTTG